GGTGCGGGGCCGGGCCGAAGCAGCCTAGGGGTGAGCGGCAGGGCGGAGTGCCGTTCTGGGGTGCTAGCCGAGCCCTGGGGTGACCTGGGCCGCTGTGCTCCTGCCGCAGGTGGAGGAGGCAGGGCATGTCTTCCTCCTGATGAAGAAAGACTATCGCATCTCCCGCAACGTGCGCCTCGCCTGGGTCCTCAGCCGGCTTCACCAGGTCATCTGGGCTGTGCCCGAGCCGGAGCTGGTGAGTTGGTGCCCAGGGCTGGGTGGTGTCACCACGGCCTGATGTGGCAAGCTGGCTCTGTGCCACTCATGAGCAGCTGGACCCTGCAGAAAATTGTAACCCAGTTCCTTTCTCTGATTCTTCCTTTGGCTTGGCTTGATGTTCTCTCATGTGCCATTTACTTGTTCTTGTAGGTAAAGTCAGAAAATGAACTTGATGTTCTCAGCATCCTGCCTAACGGGTGGCAGCCAGACGAACCCATCCAGCCCAGGCCCTATCTCCTCGTGCCCTCTACACGGGTCACCTTCCTGGCGCGCCAGTACCGATTTGTGATTGAACTTGATCTGAGCCCTTCCACGGGGATTGTGGTAAGTGCAGAAACTGCCTCTTTGGGATGTTCTGCATTAAAAGGCTGGACCTGCATTAAAAAGCTGAGAAGGCTTATTCCTCTCTGTGTTAGTTTTAACTTTTGCAGAAGTCTTGCTTTTCCCGGGAGGGAGGCATGCAGTGCTGCTAGCTAGGCAGCTTAATGGCAGATCCTGTTTCTGTGCTGAATGCTCAATGTGGACTTTCACTTCTGGGGAGCTGTCATTTTAATCCAGCTGTCATTGCAGAAGGATGTTTGCCGTTGGCTCTATGTGGTGGGGCAACCAGCAATGAGATGGAAAGTCCTAGAAGATGAAAAAGCTGTTCCGTTTTACTGTTTCTGTAGGATGACTCAACAGGGGAGATAATTTTTGATGAAGTGTTTCATGCCCTTTCCCGATGCTTGGTGGGATTGTTAAGACCCTTTCGTATCCCTGGTTCAGACATTATCTACCAGCCAGAGATCTTTGTCACCATCCAGGCGTATTCCTCCATCATTGGCCTGCAGTCCCATCAGGTAAAGTTCAGCCTCTCCCTTGGCACGGCACAGCACGTGAGCAGCTCGCTGTGTGGGCTTCCTGTGAACACAGAGGAAAGTGGGGGCATGTGGTAGCTGGGTTCTGTTATCTGTGGTGCTGCAGACTTGCCTCATTAAAATGTGCAGCCTGGTGCAGTGGGGAAGTGTATCTGAGCAACTTCTCCTTTCCTCCTCTGCAGGAAGCAGAGGTTTCTCCTGGGGGAGCAGGGCCCAGCAGAGAACGCCGCCCACAGGCACGATCTCAGAGTTGGGCCACAGGGAATACTTCTCTCATGTCGAATGTGTGCTTGTTGTTGTTGTTTTGGTTTTTTTTGTTTTTTTTTTTTTAATTTCTGTTGCCTAATTCTTTTTGGCCTGTTATAATTAGCTTGAAGCATTCAAGAAGAGCTGGTGTGCCCAAAAGCTTGTTTGCCTGCTCCAACTGTGTAGCAGTGGTTTATTCAAAGATAATTGCCTCTTCCTACAAACCTTGCTCTCTTTGTGCACTGGCATGAATATGTTTCCCCTTGCTGGAGAGAGCAGCCAGCCCCAGTACTGAGATTTTACTTGAGCCAGGGCAGGTCTGTTTAATAAATTGAAGTCTGGTTTATGGTGCCACTGTGGTTTTTTTAATTTTATCCTTAATCCCTTCCACCTCACAGTATTTTCACATTATTTTCATGTTTCTGGTGGTGTATTTCATGCCTTTGCTAATACCTGGGAAAGTGGATGGTAACAGGAGGAGCCTGTTAGTCTACACTTGTTCCCTCCTTCTCTCTCCCCAGCCCGCTTCTGCCCAAGCCTTCTGCAAGGCTGCAGCCTTTAGTGGTCTCTATAGTGCTTGAAGAGTGTGGCCGTCACTTTGGTCTGTTCTTAGGTCCTACCAAAGTAAGCATAGCAGGACTTTCTGCATCTGCAAATGGTGTTTTGTGTGTCATCTTGTCCATGCTTTGCCTCAGTATCTCCCCTATTTACACTAAATTGAGCACTCTGAAGTTGCCACATTTTTGTTCTTTGGATCTTTCTAAAGACCTGTTTATTGTAATCCCTGGGTACAACTGGATAAGCTTTATGTTCCTTTTATGGAGGAAAAGGCATATGTGTGTATCACTCATGCAGGAAAGCCTGTCTATATTGTAATTATTTACTTTTCCTATGTCACTATGAAGTCTTGCCCATCTGAGGTTGAGGCAATGTGGATAACATGCAGCGTCGCACCCGTCTGTTGAGTTCTTTGTCTACACATTGTATCTTCTTTGCCTCCAGCTTGTGGACAGAGATTGCCTGTGCAATGGCGGCGTCTGTAAACACAAGTGTCATGCCTATTGGCTTGGGGAGTTTCTGTGGTGGCAGGCTCACTCTGTCACATCACTCAGCCTCTTCTGTAGTGTCCAGTCTAATTTTTTCCTTTTCTTTATTTCAATTTGCTGTTCCTTTATCCAGCCACTTACTGGAAGATAATTGGATCAGTCTATAGGTGAGTTAGATTAGAACAAACAGGCCTTCCTTAGAATCATCAGACCAGAGTTAATGGCTTCTAACAAGGATCCCACATCGCTTTCTCCTGACAACTGCTTATCCTGGAAGAAGGCAAATGAAGTAGAAATTTCTTGCCCAAGAAGGAGATTTCCCAGAGTGATGTGAGCATCTGCTGCGGAGCTCACTGCAGATGCCACGAGACACCGCTGCTCACAGGCAGTTGGCCCTGAGCAGGAAGAGTGAGAAGAGGCCTGTGCTGTACCTGTACTTTGTCAGGGACGTGTCTGAACTTCACCGTGCAGAACTGTGTTCCTGTGTACTATTTTGGGGGCTGGTACTATAAAACCTTATCTTGATGACTGACATGTGTGTCCTTGGGCCAGGTACTATTCCAGGGCTGTCAGCTGGATGAGACGAAGCGAGAAGCCTTTCTGCACCAAGTTTACACACAGCTATGTGCCTTTGAGAACAAAGTGGCAGAGATGCTCCAGCAACAGTATGAACCCAAACCGCAGGTAAGGAGGGCAGGGGTGGTTGGGGTCTCTTGGCTTCCTGGAGATTTGCATTCTGAGGCCCCCCTGGGGTGGGGTGGCAAGAGGAACAGCGGTGTAGGTCTGGAGAAGGAACAGCTAAGGAGTTTGTAAGATAACTTTGTGGGATCCAGTAATGAGACATAAACACTGAGGAAAGCAGAACCAGTAAGTATTTAGAAGGACTGATGAGAATAGTTACCTTCCCCAAGATTATTATGCAATAAAGCAGCCTGACTTCTTGTACATCATGGGACAAACTGTAGGATGTGCTTTCTCTCGGAAGATGATGGTGGAAAAGGTGATTATGCCCGTATCATTAATTTATAAATAGCTGTGAATATGCCCTTGGCCCTTGTTACATTTCTTGAATGAAAATACTTGTTACCACGAAAACTGACCATGAAACTGAATAAACAGCTGGTGCAGTTTCTAATACTCCTTGAAATCTGTGGCAGATCTGTTTAGTAGCCACAGATATAGGCATCAGCAAGTTAATGATAGCACTATAAAATACATGTTAGGATTAAATTAGAAGTGAGACTCTGTAGGGGGTTCAGAAAGTCTATGGATTTCTCATCAAGATCATCTCTCCTGATCTTGGAAATGAAAAATGTGAAGGTTACATTGTGATACTGCCACGTTCACGTGGCAGTCACAATCATGTCTATGGGCACCCTTCTTGCAGTCAAAGGCGTTATTGGCCTGGCTGAGGTTATTTAGTCCTTATTTAGCATTAGTTATTAGAGTTTGGGCAAAAAGAAAAAAAAGTCTCAAAATCAGATGAGCAAGAGGCTACCTGTGATCTATTGCAGTTGCATATCTGAAGTGCTTCAAATCTCATATTCTAGCTGAAATTTATATCTTTGAATGCTAAGACTGTCAGTCTTGGAACAGAAGGAAGATTGCAGAAAGTAAATACCTTTACCAGTGTGTCCAGCTGGTGTTTTTGCAGTGCTTCCTGCTTGCTGCAGTATTTCTCTCATGGTAAACTACCCTATAACTTCTTCTATGCAAATTGGGGAAAGAGACATGCTTGCAGGCCAGAGGGACTGGTGAGTCCTGCCACAGGCTGTGGGGTGGAGGTGGGAGGCCCCAGGGGAAGGGCAGGGACTGAAACTTTTTTACTTTTGAAGTTGCATTAGCTGTATCGTTGTCAACAAGTGTCTGAATTTAAGGCATCTGGCAAATTAAAGTGATGGATAGTCAGGTTTTTTGCTCACAGCCACAGACTGCTCCCGTTTGTGCAGAGCAAAAGTTTAGTTAGTTCTAATTTTCTTTTCCCAGCTCCAATCATCTGTAGCTTTGCAGGGGAGGGTCTCGCCCATTCTCTGTATTAGCAGTAAAAATGAAGCAATAGTTTATTACAGGGTTGAACTGCCAGAGCCTTCTGGAGATGAGGGGACTATGAACACAGTAGATTCCTCACCAGTGTAATTATACAAATTTCAGGATTTGCCTGGGGGATATTTTTCATAGAAGATTCAGGAGAAGCCTACCTGCATTTGCTTGTATCAGCACTGCATAACGAGGTGTTTGAACAGAGTTAAATATATAGGCCCTAGACTTTGTCTTTAGGAGGCTCCTTATCCCCTCTGCTGCAGTGCTTCATAAGTGAGACGTAGCTGTGTCTGCCTCTCCAGCATTTCTGGGCTTTACTTGCGTAGATGCTGAATAGCTGCAGCTTCTACTAAATGACAAGGGAAAAAGAGATATTCATCATCTCTTTAATTGGGAACTGCTTTGCTCTGCAGAGGAGCTTTAGTGACCCCAAAGTGTCTCGTCTTTCCCCTTCTGTGAGAAATCAGCTTATAATAAAGCTCTGAGCATGTTGTCCCCTTCCTCCACCCCTGAGCAGCCTTGCCCAGCTGTTCGAAGGGGCCCAAGTGACCAGGACCTTGAGAGCACCTGGAAATTAAAGCTAGAAGTGGAGCTGAAGTGCTCCACAGCTGTAGTACCATGGGGCTGCTAGACTGAAGGCTGTTTGGGAGAGTGAGAACTAGAGCTAGGCTTAAGTCTGCCCCATGGGGCCTTGTGGGTTTTTTTTTACTTTTGCAGGTGGATTTATCACCCCTGAGCCAAGAGAGCCCTGGTGACATGCTGGAGTCATCTGGGAGGAAGCCCAGCGTGTCTGTTGTCACTGCCGATGTTGGCCTCGTCAGCATGGTCCGGCAGGGGATCCTAGCGCTGCAGCTGCTGCCCTCCAACTCCAGCGCAGGTTGGCTTCATCCTCTGAGTTAAAGTTTGCCCAGTTGTTTGCGAAGGGTTGTATTCCTCCTGCCTTAGGCTGAGATTAATTTCATAAGGGCTGGTGCGTGGACCCTTCTGTTAGGGATGAAATTTCAACAGCAGCTTTTGCTCTGCACTCTGTGGGCAAATTGTGGTGGTGGGAGTGGGGAGAACAACACTGCGCCAGGTGCCACGTGTCAGCGTTAGGGAGTTTGTGAGGAAGCACAACTGTGATTGTTGCTCGGGACAACCCAGAGTGTGCAGAGCTGTGCCCTGCTACCTAGTCGGGAAGTTTACCAGCTCCAGAATGCTTTGGAAGCTCTAAACCAACCTCAGGATTTTCCTTTCCACTTTTGCCCTGCCTAAATTTTCTCTCTGGTGGGTATACTGGGAGAGTGGTAGCTGGTTGAGATGGAAGATGCACAAGATACTGCCTTGTTTACAGGTATAATAATAATTACGGATGGTGTGACTAGTGTCCCTGATGTGGCTGTATGCGAGACTTTACTCAACCAGCTCCGCAGTGGCACAGTGGCCTGCTCCTTTGTGCAGGTATGTCTGCCATTAGCAGGGAGTATGGGGGTTGCTGCCTACCAGAGGGAGGAAGGTGGGTTGCTGTTGGTAGCATTGACCTCCAGAGGGGAACAGGGGACTTCTCTGCCTGTTTGAGGCCTTTAACGGTGCTCTGCCTTGTCCTCAGCACTGCTGTACTCTCTCAGGTATCTTCTTTATCCATGCCATAGGTGGGCGGTGTCTACTCGTATGATTGCAGCTTTGGCCATGTTCCCAATGTGGAACTGATGAAATTCATCGCCATGGCCACTTTTGGTGCTTACCTCTCCACGTGCCCTGAGCTGGATCCTCTGAGCCTGGATCTGAATGTGTATCACAAGGCATTTCTGCTATACTCCTTTCTGCGCACTGGGGAGTCACTGAATCCAGAATACTACTGCGGTAAGGAATGTACATGTCCTTCTTCCAGCAGATGGATGTCTTGCAGCACCTCTCTTTGGGGTGACTCCCCCAGGCTTGGTTATGCTGATACTCTCCCTTGTCCCCTCCAAGCCATGCCTTCTGTAGGCTCTGGGCACTATTGGGCCATGCAGCCTCATCTGTGACTCCCCTTCTGGTTCCAGGAAGTGGGTGGATTGGGGAAAACTGATGTCCCATTTTGCACCGTTCCCCTTTCTGTTGACTTCACTCGGCAGACTGCAGTTAGGCCTGCTGTTTTGGAACTTGGAGGGGGTGAGAAGCTCTCATCTGACCTTTCCGGCACACTGGCTAGCTTGCAGATGGGGATGTTCTGGAGAGCTTCTCCTAATCGGGCTTGCAGATGGCAGTTTGTATTGAAAAACTGAGAACCGTCCCAAAAGCCTCTCTTGGTTGTTCTTATTTTGTGAATGTTAGTGACAGAGAATATGCCAGGAGAGATTAGTTACCAGTAAAACATGGGAACACCCTTTCATGCCCTGGCGATATTCTGGTGCCATCTGCGGTTTCTGTAACTTGGCAGCAGAAGCCGCATACAGTGACAAGTTTGAAGAGAGCTGGCCTGGGACTTGGAAATGTTGAATCTTAAAAAGGTCAGGTGTTAGTGGTTTAAACTCAAGACTTCCACATCCTGATACCTTTTAGAAAGCACCTGGGTATTCAAGGTTTTCCAGGGAAAGGGGTAAAGCCCAAAAGCTTGCTGTCCAACTGTTGCAAGAGCTGTGCAGTTTCTGCCTGTCTAGGCTAAATGTGTAACTCCAATGCATGCCTTGTCACAAAAGCTGTCCCAGAGGAAGCAGGGTCTGGCACCCCACTGTGCCCCTCTCCCAGGCCTCTTGGCCACGCTAGTGGACCTGTTTGCTGCGTTGCAGAATCAGGAGTGAATGTAAGTGGTGCCTGAAGGATGTACTGTTCTTCAGGCCAGTAAGTGTTCCTGGCAGCTTTTGTAAAGCACTTTGGGAGGGCTGTTGCTGTAGGATGAGGACCAGAGAAGTTGCTCCCTCACAAACCCTGTCTCTGCCGTTTGCAGTGTCCCAGCACAGACTGTTCAATGAGCACCTGGTGTCTGCAAGCAGTAACCCTGCTCTGGCAATGAGGAGGAAGAAGCACACTGAGAAGGAGGTGCATGCTGACCTCGTGAGCATTGTCTCAGTCCGGCTGCGCGAGGGCTACAGCATCCGTGAGGTCAACATCACAAAAGGTGACTGTGCTGTGTTGGGGGCTGGAGGCTCAGATAGGACTCTGTTCTCAACTGTTTAGAGGAAAGTGCAGGGTCTGCCATCTCAGCAGAGTGGCTGGTATTCTGGAGGAATACCAAACTAAGTTGTTTTGTTTTGGTTTTTTTTTCTGTGAATAATTGCCTGACGCAGGGCTGTCCAGTATTGTGCAGTTGTGCACTTGCCAGGCTCATCCTCTGTGGCTATAAATGCCTAGGGAGGGACAGACAGACTGTGACCCTCTGCATCTTGGAAATGAGTCCCCACAATTGCAGGGAAACTAGTGACAGAACTTGGGGTTTTGCAGAGTTTTCTGGGATTTCCTCTATATTTCTCCTTTTTTCGTCCCTTTCTAGTCCTTTGCTAGATGCACTCCAAAATACTAACACAAAGTTGAGCCCTTTGGTACAACAGATTTAATGCTCCAAACTGCAGTTTTCCAAAGTAAGAAATTGGGGGAAAACAAGGGTATTGTTAGGTGAAAATGCCAGATCTGTCAGGACCATGACCAATACTAGAAGAACATAAAACCATCCAGTGGTCCTGTTCTTTCATTTAACTCACTCTGTGGAGTGTGAGAACTAGCTGCTGACTAGGGCCCTTGAGGGTTTGAGTACTCCAAGGAGTGCCGGTAAACCCTACCTAACTTTCCATCTCCAGCTGTGACTAGTGGTAGTACTTTAACTGAAGGGGAGATGAAAAAATCCAAATGCAACTTATGAATTGCAAGCAAGAGAAGAAATTATTCTTGACCATCACAATGACTAGCAGAAAGCCTGGAGGATGGGATTCTTAAAACACAGCATAAACGTATACAACACATGGTGATCCAGTGTCTTCACTATTCTTTTTGGGATATTAGTACACAGAATATATTTTATGTCAGAAAATCAAAGTCTGTGATATAACTGCAAAATCATTCCAAACTTGCCATATGATGCTTTCTGTGAATTTACTATGGTCTGCCTTAAAACCATGTAAATATCTTATGTCACTGTTCTGCTTGCAAGATTGTCCC